CCCCAAAACCCCAAAACCCCAAAACCCCAAAACCCCAAAACCCCAGGGGGTAAAATTAATATTGGAAGTTAACAAAAATATTTTAGCGATGTGAGGAGTTGGGAATGGATTTAGTTCAGTCCTAGGTTTGGGTTCATAGGTGGGAAGATTAGATAATAGGTTAGGATTTAGGAGAGATCGGCTTTTGGAGTTGGATTTTAGAGGTGGTTTTGATAAGAGTGGAGATAGTTATTGATGGGGGTTGAAGAGCGAGGGTTATATTTTTAGAAGAGAGTTTTGGTTCACAATATATATATTTTTGATTGTCTGTGGTTACTGGGAGTTATTATTAAGCTTCTCTTATCTCATAAATGAAAGTGGTGTCATTTAAAGCCCTCCATCTCATATCAACATTTTGGGTGCATATCAATGGTCTGGGATAAAATTTAAAGAATTTATTAATTTCCTGGCTATTGGCTCCAAGGCTAGCCCAGAGATTGTACTTTATATTTTTGATAGTATATTTTTCTCAAAACTATGTAGAGCAAAATAATTAGCAATTTTCAGATATCCATGAATTAATAAAAAGCTTACAGAAATGAACTCTGAGAAATTCTGATTGTTGCTAACTAAAAGAGCACAGGATGTAAGAAACCTCAAGTTTAAAGCTGTCTAGAATCTGTGTATGTTTTATTTATCTTTAACAGAGAATAAGTCAAACTGCACGCATTCATCATTTTGGAAATTTATTTTATCAAAATTAGTAATATTTAGAACTTTGATATCGATGTATCTCTTAACTCAAAAGTCACAATTCTTGAGAAACTCAGTTGCTGATCATATAATGAGACTGAGCCTCTTGTCAAGAGCGTTAGGTGGGCAAGTCATTCTTGAAGCCCAGATATGCTCTTTTAGTGACTGTTCAAGGATCATATGAACAATGATTGTTATAGCCAGGAATTAAAGGGATTTTGTCTAAAAATTAACCAGAGCATAAAATTTTAAAGTATGGGGATTACATTATCAAATTTTCTCCTAAATTGAGAAGATGTACTTTTCAAAAACAATAATATTCTGATATAGCTTCTTCTGTTTAGAAAGCATATTTGTATTTGAAGATGGTCAGGGTGTTGCTAGGGGAGATTATTAGGTCTTGGGTTGTGCGTATGAACATAGTTCTGTCTAGCCACAAACAGAGCAGAATTTAGCAGAAGGCAAGATTTAACAGAAGACTAAAATGGAGCTGGGGCTCAGGATGAGCTCCATTTCCCTAGTAGCAAATTCTGACCTCCAACTTCTTTCTTTTTGAGAAATCTCCAAATAATCACTGAGTCTCCTTCATCCTTTTCACACCCTCCTCCTCAATTCTTAAATATTAATTTATTGTTAATATTCATTTTTAATTTCCAATAAATATTGTCAATATCTAAAAGACAACCAGGGGTTTTGGGGTTTTGGGGTTTTGGGG